CACCGCAAATCTTGAATAACTCGGCGGATAGACAACAAATTGCAGTTGAGTTTTGGCACATAAAAGACGGGAAACAAGGTAAGATTCTTAGTGACCTTAACCAAACCAATTCTAGTGATGGATGCTAAGGTACCATTAGCAATCCTAATCCATATCGTATGAGGGTAAGGTTACATGTTTTGAATGAGGTTTACGTTCCCACTCATATTATCAGTTGAACCGGAGTCAAGTATCCAAACATTTGTATGAACATTTTACGGCATCGAAATCACTTGTGCCTCAAAATAAATTCAATACTAAGAGCAAATATCAGAGTATACCATAGTAAAATTCGTATCCACAGGGAAAGGTGTTTTTAGCATGTGTGTAAGCGTAATAACTCAAAATAAAGGAAGGAGATTTGGATATTGTGATAATTGAGAAAGCAAATAAAACACAAAGATAGATGAATTAAAATATTAAAGGTAATAAGTCTCATCGTCTTGGTTTTGATATTTTCCACTTAGTGAAGTACTCGTTGAACAGGGTTACTACTTTAACTCTCCTCTCTTGAATACTTAATTGTGGAGATTAAATCGTCCAATTCATCAAAGGTAGGCATTAATAACGAGACACATTAATTAATAACTCTTACTATTAATTAGTCAATATAAACTAACACATTGCTTTATTTAACTCTCCTCTCTTGAATACTTAATTGTGGAGATTAAATCGTTCATGTGACTAATATTAAGAAAAATAAAACATTGCTTCTTAAAAACCATTTAAAGTGGATTTCTCAAATTAAGCTTTAAATTAAAAAGTTATTGTAGTGCATGTTTGATAACATTAAAATTGATTGAGTCGGCTGAAATTGATGAAATTGTGGTTGAATGGGTTGAATGTGGTGATTATGAAAAAATTACATTTAAAATATATTTTGTTAACAAAATAAAGAAAAAAATATATGATAAATAGTTTAGTGGTCATATACATTAACTTCAACCAATTCAGTCACAAAAGTAACTTCAACCTTACGTATTTCGATTACATATTTGATCAAAAACTGATTGATAAGACTCACGAGTTGAAATGAACTCTTATTGTGACATAATTGTGAACAATTACTCTCTAATACTCCGTATATAACACCTTAAGGCCTTCTAGTCTATGTAAGTACTCCATACTTCGATCTTTCTCTCATGTAGGGTTTAGTTTTCCGCCAATCATTCTAGGCTTGTGCGGCCAGAAAATCTCAGCCTCATGCATCACACAGGCTTGGCTTATATATTGTGTCGTAGGGTTTCTTTTACGCCGGCCGATCTAGGCTTTGTGGGGCTAGTGGATTTCAACCCCGCACATCGCACAAGCTTTGTTTTTGTTCGCAGGTTCGTCTTCAACTGCTCAACACGGCAAGAAGAAATTATGGAGTCTATTGTTAACCAGTATGAAACTTGGTTACATGGAGGCTTCTCCTACACTTTCGATTGCTCAGTAGTAGAGAAATGTTATGAATAAGGAGAAAGGAGAGGAAGAAGATGTTGTATTGCCGACCCCCTCCCAAACCGCCGCCGTAGAGGAATCGTGTGGTTAGGATTGAGATCAAGTTTGGATTTATTTTAATTATTTTGCTCTTATTTTTATTTTTCAGTTCGAACGGAATGTTGTTTTAGTTGTTTTCTTTATTTCTACTAGCAGAACTCTAGAGTTTAGGTTGGGTGATGAAAGGTAGGGGTGGGCACAGTTGGTTAACCGGATTTTGGTTAACCAATTTTCGGTTAACCGAGATATCGGTTACTAAATTTTCAATACCGCTATCCGTACCATAATATTGGTTAACCGTATATCGGTTAACCAAATATTCGGTTAACCACTAACGGTTAACCAATAAACCATAAAACAATTAACAATAAAGGGAAATATACTTCATGAACAAAAACTCATAATACGGGTGGGCTCAATACTCGTCACCCATGCAATAACCTAGCAGGTAATGGTGTAGTTGATTCCATTTGAAGCACAATTATTATTATTATTATTATTATTATTATTATTATAAATATTTATGATTTTGGTCATTAATTGGTTGACGTCTAAAAGAGCCGCATTTTGACAAATTTTTCAGCTTTGAGTTTTATCCTTAATTATAATCAGCTCTTTAAATGCGACCAACGAGGAGAGCAGCTATGGCAACGACTGTGGGAGACTTTCCAATGATATCGACTATGAACCGGAAACAAATATTATGTAGTATAATTATTCAAAATTTCACTACCGGTTAACTCCGGTTAACATAACTTCAACCGTCAACAAACCATGAACCGCTATTTCTTCGCGGTTGGTTAACCGCACCGCGAGTTTTAAAAAATTTGGTACGATTAACCGAAAAATACACCATTTTTTCGGTTATTTAACACGGTTAAGCGGTTACGGTTTTTCATGCCCACCCCTAATGAAATGTATATTGCATCCGCCATTAGCTCAATTAAACTCATTATAGAATCGAAGAGTCATATTGTTTTTTGAAACTGATAGATTCGAGGTAAGGGTCAGATTGATCCTCGAAATTGCATAAAAAGGATCAAATAAGTCTTTATTGTCTGACCTTCGCCATTTGAGGAGGTTCCCGGTGGAAATTTTTGATGAATTTTTTTGATCATCTTACTAATTAAGTCTAGTTTACTCATACCAAATTTCAGCTAAAAATTCAATCGGTAAGGCATTCAAATGAATTCTTGAAGATAACTGCGCTTTTAACTGCGCAATTATCTTCAAGACTTCATTTGAATGCCTTCCTGGTTGAAGTTTTAGATGAAATTTGGTATGGGTAAATTAGATTTAATGAATAAGATGCTCGAAAAATTTCATCAAAAAATTCCATCAGGAATCACCCCGAATGGCGACGGCCGGACAGAGTCTCCTATATAGGGACTTATTTGACCCTTTTTATGCAACTTCGAGGACCAATCTCACTCTTACCTCTTATAGATTCGTAGTCTCATTTCAAGGAAGACGATCGGAAAGAGACTTTTTATCTTTCTGTATCTTGAATTATTATGATTATTCAATATAAGTCACTTTCTTTTCTTCCAATAAAAAAATTATTCCATACTTCGTATACATGGGACACCATTAGTGAAATTAAACTTTCATAAAAAAAACTACACTTGGGCCTTTTCCTTGAATATTATCAAATTAAAGTTGGTTTCTGAAAATGTGACCAAATTTTAAAAAAGACAAAAATGTGACTAAGAAGGTCACGTATTTGGGAACACATGATGTCACTGAATTTTTTATGTCACTGTCAGGTTTTTATGTCCTTGTTTCAAGTCACAATCAGATTGTTATGTCACTTTTGAATGTCATTGTTGTCGTAAAACATGTCACTGACCGTGAAACATGTCACTATAGCCGGAAAATTTCCAACAACCTTTTTGGTAAGAGCTTCTCCGACGAAACTGTATACCACCACCAACCGCCGACTATCATCGACAACCACCGGTGGCCAAACCCTCATCTAGCTTGTACAACCGCTACCTGACACCCCCGCCCACTGCCACCATCCCTCTTGCACGCCAACCTTCTGCCATAAGCAATCAATCCTCTAACCCTTTCCTCATCTCCCCCACCACCGCTTGAACTGCCACCCCAACCGCTCAACAGTTACTTTAGAAAATAAAGTTCTACCTCAGATCTGAGAAGGAAGGGGAACCACCACAACAGTGGACTCGGTCCGGTTCGGGCCCGGTTCGGGCCTGGGCCCGGCCGGGCCTCGGTTCAAGAAGGGGAGGCCCGGAACCGGCCCGGGTAACCCCCGGGTCCGGGCCGGGCCGGGCCTCGGGTATTTTTTTTTTTTTGGGCTTTTCCTAGTTAACCCCCACCCCTCCCCCTCACCCCCAAACCAACCCTAACCACCTCAAATGGCCCAAAATAACCAGCCCAACCCAAAAACTCAAAAAAAATTCAAAAAAAAAATTAAATTTGGCCCGGGCCGGTTCACCTTTTGAAGGGCCCGAGCCCGAACCGAGAATCCACCGGGCCGGGTGGCCTGAACCGCCCAACGAACCGGTTCCCGGGCCGGTCCGGGCCCGCACAGTGGCGGGCCGGTCCGGTTCCGGGCCGGTTGGCCCGGCCCGAGTCCACCCCTAAACCACCAGATAGAGGAAGAGGAGAAGAAAAGGAGGAAGGCGATCAGATCTGCGGCAAATAGGAACAACAGCGATGAGCAACAATGGCAGCAAAGAAGAGGCAAAAGCGAGGAGAGACGACAACGGTGAAGAGGTAGCGGTGAGGCAAGACAGTGGTGTCGAAGAGGCAGTGGCGGGGAAATTAGGCGATGAAGAGGCGGCGCTGGCTCCTATGAGGTGAAATGCTGGAATGAGAACACGGAGGCTCCTCTGGTTTCTTTCAATTTGGCGAAAGTGCAAGGGTGAAATTAGGGCTACTGCTCATTAATTCTAGTCACATTTGGGGAAAGAAAAAATTCAAGTCATATTTTGGGAAATGTAAAGGTCACTAGTCATGTCTATGCAATTCTTTCAAATTTTTTCTTTATTTTATTGAAAAAATATTTAAATTTTTTTTCCATAAATCAGCCAATACAGCTACTTCAGCCAAAACTTCACAAATTTTAGCAGAATCAACCAATTCAGCTAAAATGTTACCAAACGGGCTATACATATAATAAAGAGAAAAACAAAGAGAAAAAATCATAAAGAGAAAAACAAGTACAAAGAGAAATGAAGGAAATGGAATATAAAAAGAAAAAAGGCAAAACATAAATGCAAGCTTAATGACTTGGATTATCATGTCAAAATAGTTTTGGCAAAAAAGTCTATTATGGGCTCTATGAATGCTTTGTTGACATCTAATAAATTCCATTCAAGTTTTTGGTGCTCGTTAGGCAAGGCAACCAGCCATGGCGGGTGTTCTGCACCGCCTAGACGCTTAAGTGTCGCCTAAACGAAGCCTTGACAACTATGAGCTGGAACAGAATGGTCAACTGCTACCAAAAAATAATATTGATACGGCGGTCAAAGATCACATGGTAGGGTTTCTATTTATAAACCACACTTCACATAAAATCATGAAACTGTCACCTACAAAATTGATCTCTTTATATGTACACATGTATTATTATTTTCCATTTTAACATGACATGCAAATTTATTTACTTATAGTTATTATATACAATCACAGAATACAAAATTTGCCCCAAATAAACAACTCTGCGATGGATGATTAAACCTTTGTGTGGGATGCTTGGGTGGGGCTTAAACATCCTGAAACCTGACTCATCATCCAATGCTAGGAAACAGATGCCAAATTGTGTCTTCTTCATTTCCTTTAATCAAATCTGATGTGGTTTACTTCTGCCTGCCGGAAGGAGATTGACATCTCCTCCTTTTACTTTTTTGTCTGATGATGATTGGTTTTCCACTGTGTTCGGGTGAGGTTCTGACCCTTTCCTTTCAGGGGCTAGGCTAGTTTGACAAGAACTCGAGCTTTTGTCCAATTCTAGGAACTCGTTTGAAATTTGGGCACGGCGCTCCTTCATGAAGTTAAGCCGGTTTGTTAGCTTTGACAGCGCAGAAGAAGCATTAGCTCCCTGCTTATTAATGATGATGGCCTTGTTAGCTTGGACGTATTTTAATTGTGTATGCTTTTCACTTATTTCTGTATTTAATATTTTTCCTTTTTCCTTCAAAAAAGTAACACAGCACAAACACTTGATAGTATACCTCGTTTCTTGAACCAAACTTTCTTGAGGTTGTCGTTGAAGCTGCCCTACCCATTATCCCCGGTTCAACCACGTTTTGAACCGCAGAATTGTTGGGATTGCATAGAGTATCCAATTGCTTGCTCTGTTTGTTCACAGAAGCTTGAGGTTCATTTTTCTTCTCTCTTTCACCATCTTCCGTCTGGTTTGAGCAAGCATCATGCTGCATGCATGCAATTTTAGAAACGCTTATGCTCGCTACTGTCAAAACATCATCCTCATCTAACTCCATGTTTTTAATGTTGTGTTTTACTCAAGGGTGGGGGTGGGGGGTTAATGGAAGAGATTTTAATATTATCCTGTTCAAAAAAATTATTCAGTGGGGCGAGGTTACATACCACTATAGCATTATGAATATTTATCAAAACATAAATAATATCATTGGTTCCGCCAAGTTTTTTTTAGAAAATGGATTAAAACTAACCTAAAATATTTTGCATAATTTACTGGAAAGTAATCCTCTACTTTCATATTTTAACTGTATAGATTGTATCATCTGGAACACAGTCAAACATATTGTTTTTAAGGAATTTGAATTTATATTTCAAAATTTGGAACACAGTCATACACCTTGGGGAATCCCCCCCACCCCACCAAAAAAAATGCCAAAACGACGTTGTTTAGGGTCTTGTTAAAAAAAAACCAGTGGGGGCAGCTGCACCCACTGGCATAGATACACCATTGGTTCAGACAGAGGGGAGTGGAAGTGAGAACTCAGGAGTCAGGAAAGGGGGGTTATAAATTTTAATGTGGTCTTTTTGAAGTACACGAAGGGAGAAGGGAGAAGGGAGAAGGGAGAAAAAAGTATTACATAGACCATACTTTCTTGCTATTTTATTCAATAATGATAGATGAACACTTCTAACGATCAATAATTAAAAATATAGCAATGTATTCATTTACAAACATATTTGGTATATATATGTGACACGTTTTTATAAATAGTTGCACCACTTTGATTTTTGTATTGTTCACATATTCTACTTTTACTGTTTTTATTATTTAATTTTTTTCAGGTTAGTTCATATTGGCATCCCGTCAAGGCGAGGGTCCAGGAAAGGGCCCCACCCAGAAGGTATACAACTGATACAAGGAGCAAGCCTTCTCTTGTCACGACAAGAGGATGCTCCCAAGACTTAACATGTGACTTGTCGGCCACACAAAAACACCTTAAGTGGTGCGCCAAGGCTCTGCTTCTACTTTTTTTTATTTAATTTGCAATAAAAACCATATCACTCATATAAAAATATCATTAAATTTGCTCCAATGTACATTTTTGAAATATAATCTTTTTTTCTAATATTTACTAAGCAAATTAAGTTTATTAAAGGTCAAACTTGTGCATTGGCAACTTGAAAGCCAAAATGTTGCATCTAATAAAAAACATAGGTGCTATATTATACATATGATTATGATTTTTTTTAAAATCTAATAAAAAAACTTTGATCATAAATATATATAAATATGAACATCCATTCCTAAACTATGCGTAGAAAATCAAACCTAGAGTTTAAAAAGTACCTTACTTCTCACTGACTTGTCATGAGCTTGTGAAGTAGGATTAGTATCCGCATCGCTATTCTTATAATCCCTAATATAGCCAGATCGAAATGCAAAAGAAAAGTATATAGTAAAAAAATACAATAGTGGAAAATAGAAAGTATGCAAATATGTGAAATTAAAGAGACCCAAAACATGCGCACCACAAACTAAACGCAAGTAGAAGTACTCAAGTTCTTACTGTTTTCGTTGCTGAGTTAGATTTTGTCGCGGTTGATTGTCTATATCAGTATGATATCTGGAATTTATTTCCTGTTGTTTATTAAGCTCAGCTCCAAGATCTTCAGCCCTCTGTTTCAAATAGGCAACATCTGCCTCTGCTTGAGCAATCTCCTCAAATTCTGCTTTGGTCTATTGAACAGAAAAGATTACTATTACTGTCATAATAGTAGTAATCAGTAGTAATTTATTTATCATGATATGATGAACAATTTGGGTTTAAACCAACTCACTGCTTCATCAATACTGGAAGAAGTGGCCAATGGTAATGGAGAATTCTGGAGTCTAGCCTCCAGCACCATCCTCAACTCTTGTTCTTTTTGCAACTGCTCCTGAAGCATTGCCACCTAAGCCCCAAAAAAGCATTTTAAGAAAAAATATCCCAGTATATAGTATATACAATATTACAATCTATCTTATAGAATCTTATCTGATACGTTCTTCACGAATGAACTGCTAGTCAGTATATATTTATGGAAGTATTCTGAGAATGGCAAAATTATATCAAATTAACCGTCAAATTATCTGGATTGAGATCATTCTACCACTCCTCGAACCCTTCCCAAACCCTCCCCCTATATTCATCACTATCCATATTTAGGGCTCAATTGCACGTTAGTCTTTCAGTTGATTAATATTATGTAATCTCAGACAACTCTTTCATCCTTAGTCCCTCACTTGTTATAACCTAGATACAACTAGTTGCTCCTCTAAAAATCACTGTATGCTGTTAAATATTACTCCCTCCGTCCCCCTGTTATTGTCCCATTTCTTATTCACTTGGTCAACACAAATCACTCTTAATCTCTTACTTTGTTTATCAAATTTTTATCAAATTTGATTCTGGTTTTTGCGACTTTGTAAAACATTTAATGCAGTTTCTGAATATGCAATTTTTTTTCGAAAAATAATTCTAGTGTGGACAGGGATCTGTTTGCTTTATCGTCAGTCAAGCATCGTAAACCGCAATGGGACAATAACAGGGGGGGTGGAGGTAGTAAGGTGCATGAGGGCATTCTCAACATTATGTATGGGTGAGAATGCCCCAAACAACCTTAATATTGAAAGCTGATTTTAACTGGATGGAGTACTTATGTCTCAAATATAACACTTGAATGACAAAATTTTCAAAATCTGAAAGACGGATTACATATACTACCCAATGACATTATCCAGTGCAAAGTTGTTGCAGTGTGACCACAACGGTCAGGGTCTAGAGCCATGGAAACTTCCTCTTGTATAAATAATGATGTGAAATATAAGGTGAAAATTGTGCACATTTGGCTTTATTGGTCCGACCCTATACACGTGGGGCTATTGCACAGGATAATCTTTTTTCACTTTTGGAAATTTTAAAACTGGCAAGAGGAAACTTCTACTGTTGGGATTTTACAAAAATCTAGAGCGTGCTAGTCAAGATCATACATCTCTTTGAAGAGCTAAGCGCCGTTCTTGTAAAGCATTCTTTTGTTTTGCCAAGCTCTCTTTCAGAAGCACGTTCCCCTTAGCCTATTATTATGAAAGACAATTAGGATCCAGTGAGTATGGATGCCCTCCATGTTAACAAAGATGATTGTGATCCATACCTCCTCTGCAATTCTGTTTTCTAATTCTATTTTGGTGGCCTCCAGGCTCAGGATTTCGGAACTAGGAAAAAACGGACAGTCAATTAATAGAACTCTCAGATCATTCTCAAACCAAACACACTAGAAGATGATCAGTTTAACTTTCTCTTTAGATAAGATGAAACTTTTTGCAGCAAGTAAGGGACATGCCAAAAGAATAAGAAAATGAAAGCCATAGAAGAAGGAATAACATTTAAGTTCATATAGCAGTAGAGGAGTTCTTGCCTAGTAATCCAGAAAATGATAAGCCACTTACTCTTCCTCAAGGGTGAAATCAAAGGATTCCAAAGGAAGGTTATTGCCCTGTCCTCCAAAAGCATGGTAATTAAGACCGTTAGAGTAAATTTTCAAAAGGGAAAGACATATACTAGAAAATTGACAATAAAATAAAGTCAAAAGACTAACACTAAGGCAAAAAGTAAAAATGTTGTGTGTGTAATTTACCATGAAAATACAAGTAACATAGTTATAAAAACTGGAGTTTTTGTTGACAAAATAGAAAAATAAAGCGGATTTGAAAACTGCAACTTGTTTATTCAAAACAAAATACTAAAATACTCACACGAGCACGCACCCGGACAGCAGGGCGGCGAACAGTGTTCCCAGGGCAACTAGAAACTTCTGTGGATTTTTTAGAAACAGATGCTTCAGCAGTCTCTCCTACCAAATCATGGGATTCATTCCCTGACGTTGCAGACACATGGCTACTATGATTTATAGCACCATCAATAATGCCTTCATTCTTAATAGAATTTTGAGGGAGACTTCTTGGTTCTTTCTGGCTAACTTCAGGAGACTCGAGACTGGAATTACAGCCTCTAGCACGCTGGATTATTCATATTAAAAAAATTATGTGCAGGTGGGAAGGGGGTTGGAAGGAGGAACATGTATAGAGGGAGATATCTTATACAACAAGCTTTAGTACACAAACTTCAGATAGCATAATATTTTGTAATGGGATTATATGATCTTCAACAATGCTTTTCTTAGTGAGAACGTGGGAATCACAGCCTCAACCACGCTGGACTATTCACATTAAAGAATTAAGCAAAGGCGGGAGGGGGGTTGAATGAGGAATGTGTGAAGAGGGAGGTGACTTGTACAACAAGCTTTGAGTACACAAACATCAGATAGCACAAAAAAAAATTGTGAAGGGATTGTATGATCTTGATCCCTGCTTTCCTCAATGAGAATGTGGGGGTGCAAGGTCTTACCAAGTAAGTATAACTAAGTGAATATAGTATTACTAGCAGTAAAAGATGGACATTTAAATTTAGATACAGCAACAACATCCAAGCCTTATTCCCAAAAGATTTTGGGGACGGCTGAATTTAGATATAGAACTAAAAATTAAAAACAATTAAGATAGAATATGTTAAACAATAAAGGTAAAACTGTTACGGGAGAAAGGTAACGTATTGCAGAACTTATTTCACGTCGAATAGCAGATGAGACGTAAACTAACCCTTAAAAACAACAAGTGTTGTTGTTTTAAGGCCATCTATGCATATAGTAGATAGTAATATAGCATGATGTGAAGGGAGAGATAAACTAACCTTATTAGCACCTTCAATTTCATCAGTCTCACTGGCAGTGCTAGTAGTTGCATGACCAGAGCCATCATTAGAATATGCATCAGAGCCCTCGTCTTCTTCATCAACATCTTCATCGGTGTAGCTTTCATCTTCTTCATCGCTAAGTTCTTCACCACCCGTATCATCCGAGTCAGAGTATAATTCAGGTGACACAGATCCTTCCTGCAGGGCAGTTAGAATGTTTTTTAAGCATAAAATGAAGGGAGAAAGGGCATATATTTCACTCCTTGTTCGGGTGATGCAGACCCTTCCCTTCAGTACATATAACTCAAAGCTAATCAAGCATAGATTGCACTCCTCGTTTAAGAGAACATGCCAATGCATTGGATACAAGATAAGTACTCCTGTATAATTGTGCTCTATCAACTACGACAGGACAATTCTATAATTGTTATAAAGCCAACGTTTGATATGGATTTGTATGATAGCCTGTTAGGAAATGAAGAACAGAAGAAGTCATTTACAGTTCACACAAAAGATGAGTGTGGCGGAGATGTGTATGTTACAATTGATGTGTGGTGAGACTAAGAAAGTGTGCAATATTGTAATGAATAGATACATGAGTTTAAATATACAAAATTCAACATCACAAATAAACAGAACTACAAACAAATCATAAAATGTCAATCGTGCCATGCCTTAAAATATAAAATGGAGGGGTCATTGTAGAGTGAGAATTAATGCCGCAGTTGCCTACTTGGCTTATATGAAAACCTACCAAAAAGATCACCACTCCTACTTTTTCAAATAAGTCAATTATTGGGTGTTTGTGAAGCAAACCAACAAGAAAAAAATTGAGCTACAACTAATATCAGAACCTTAGACAAAGAACACTACATAGAAAAAACAGTATCCATGGCACTTGGAAAAGCCTATTGAGTAAGCTATTTGTAATGAAACATTTCTTTTATGCTAAGAGTAGATGAAGTATGAATATACTTTCAATTACTTGGGAAATATAAACATGTCATCCACAATTAAATGTCATGCACTACACAGGAGCATGGAAGAAAAATGTCTTAACGGACATGATCTCCCAGATAATTAATACTCCGTACTATATTTTATTTAATGCTCATTTTCACAATTCATAAATTAAGACATCAGCTATGTTCCATATAATGTACAAAAGAATAAAAGATATGAAGATAGTAATAAACTTATACCCCAAATAGATTGCTATACTCTTCCAACAAAGTTATGACAATAGCCTGAGCATGGTTCGCTGCTGCAGCTGCCTGGAGAAGTTGAATAGAGCCATCACCACCCATGTCAAAGTTCTGTCCAAGCTCACATTCTCCAGCTAGCAGGGGGCGAAGAAGTAAAGGTGCCATGCACGCAGCAACAGCTGGAATGCTCATTCGATTCTCATTCTTGTAAGAAGCCACTTTTTGCATCATAGTGAGAATTCTGATAGAGAAAATTGGATCAGCTTAAATCAAGCACTAATAGTTGTGACCAGTTGAGAGTAGCAGAATAATTTCATGTACAAATGCATGTTTCCAAATATGCTTGAACTTTAACAAAGCTTGATATACAAGAAAGAGGCATAGTTCATATCAGTTGGCCTGAGCTCCAAGGATCTTCTAGCATGAAGAATGATTAAACTTGACCAGGAAAATCAGATATAAGAGCTACAGCTTTACATTCAAAATATTTTTCATTCTTCTTACAATCACTTAACCTTTTTTGCAAAAGCTTGTGGGTATCCAATTGGATTCAAACATTAACATATTCACGCCCTGCATGATAAACTTAACTACTAAAAGGAAATTTGCTCAAATGTTTGAATATGTGAAGTAAACATGAGTAATTGATTCAGAAATAAAATACTAAGAAAATAGACATAAAAATTATGTAACTTTTAAGTTAAGCACCATAATAACAAAATACATCCAACTAGCCATTTTATATTGCAACTGTTATAATATTGGACATGATGATGCATAATGAAATTCTTATGCACCTTACAAAGAAGTAATAAAAATCATGAAAACAAATATTATTAGCACCTTTGCAATAAACGCCGATTTGGCTCAGGAAATGTCTCCAATAATGCATTACGTATAGCATCAACTCTCAAACTGCGCTCAGTTCCTAAGAAGAAATGAAGAATAATCAAATAGTCAATAATGGTGAGAAATAGCTTAAAGTCATGATTAGCTATATAATTATAGAGCTAGAAACACTGCATATAATGTTCTCGCTAACAGTTTTGTACTTTAGATGAAAATTAACTACATATTCCCAGGTGAGTTGATTCAGAAAACTAACTATTTCGCTTCACCTTTATTTAGATTTTTCTTGATATTTGAACTACATTTTTTATCAAAGGTCATAGAAGATTTTATTTGGGGTATAATCTTATATGTAAAGAAGAAAGATGTGTAAAAGTGTGAACTTTATTGCTTTAAGAACTTCAGTCAGCAACAATATTAAAATCCCTCCTAAGCATCAAAAGACTCTTAAATATATCATCTGCTTCTTCAGTCAAAGAACAACACTAACAATTGTTTGCCTGTTTTGTCCCTGGTTTAGTTTAGTGGAGTATCAGTAGCAATTTAATGAACATCACAAGCAATTCTTCATGTGATGTGTTTCTATCACTAAGCTGCACGCCTGCACGGCTGCACCCCACCACGATAAAATATATCTGGACTTAGATTTGATATTTTTGGCCCTTGACTAGAACATGTTTAGCTTATAACTTTGGTGCGCTCAACTCTATTTTTGTCTATTGATTTAGTTCCCTTGCTCCTCAATGAAGGTGTCTAACCTCGAAAACCAAACCAAACCAAGTCGAACCAAGCCAAACTAAGTAAGTCATACACAGAAGTAGAGTTTAGAGAGAGTTACCAGGATCTAATTGTTTATTAGAGCTTAATTGGCTCTATTGTCATACTAAGGCTTGTTATTTCATCCTAAAAGGTTAAATTGATAGCAAAGTAGTCCAAGGCTTTATAAGTTGGTTTTAACCTGTATACTCGATTGCTTAATAGAATTTACGATACATTCCAGTAGGTAAAAGGCTGAAAGTTCATACGCGGAGCAGACTGGAGGCACACTTTTATTATTATTATTATTATTTATGTCTGCAGTAATTAGTGTTGGTTAATGTGGCAGTGGGTAGTTACTCCTCAGGCAACTAGCAGGGCACTAGGCATTTAGTTGGCAGTTAAAGTTTATGGAAGTTATAATCTGTAACCAACCTTCCTCTATTTAAGAGAAGGTTTATTTTCAATAGTGAATATCTGAAAAAGTTTGTCAATAGTTAGAATCAGGGAGTTGGAGAATTCTCAACGAAAATTCTCAATCTTCTTCTTCCACCATTCCACACGATATTCACACTACACGACTGCAGGTGAGAGAGCAGGGAGAGCAGGGGGACTGTGTGGAAGAAGAGGGTCCGAGACCCAAGGGGCTGTCGGTTTACTGCAGGCGGGAACGGACTTGAGCCCACCTTCGTGGGCTGGTTGCGAGCTGCTTAATTAAAATTTATTATTTTTAATTTTCCTAATTTGTTTCCTATTTGGAGTTAATTATGATTTCTATTATTTGTTTCCTATTAGGAGTTAATTAGGATTTCTATTATTTGTTTCCTATTTGAAGTCGATTGAGATCTCTATTATTTTGTTTCCTAGTTGGAGTTGATTAGGATTTCTAGGATTTTGTTTCCTAGTTTTAGAATTAGTAGATGGGTATTTAAACCCCTTGTTAGGATTCATTCGGGCTCATCTTGGAATAAAGTTGGATTTTAGCCTTTTGGCTCTGGGCAACGGTATTTTTATTGTTGATTATCTGGGCAACGGTTTACCCCGTTGTTTTTTATTTTTCGGTTCACAACAATTGGTCCGACCTGCCGGATCCCATTCCCGCCGGAATGGAAAAATCGAACATGGAGCTTTTGACAGTGGTGGAGGCCAAACTAGCCTTGTTAAACCAGAAACTGGACGCTCGAGGAGTTCAACTGGCAGAGATCACAGCCTCCTAGGCTGCGCTCACTTCGCTCATGAAGACTTTTATGCCGCCAACGGCAGAAGGGCACTCATCAACAGCCGCGTCACTGGATTCTGCGTCAGCATCTGCGTGCGAACTTGAGGAGATTGCTGAGTCGGAGAAAGATGCAGCACTAGGAAGTTGTGGGTCAGGAAGGCTTGCTTCATGCTTTCTTGATTCCATGGCAACCCTAGATTCGCCAGCATGGGGTTATGGACTGAGGTACAAGTATGGGCTACACAAGCAACGCATTACGGAAGCTGGACAAGAGGAAGTTACTGAAGGTTGGCTTGAGAAATTCAGTCCCTGGGAAGTTGCAAGGTATGACATTGTGTTTCCAATTCCTGGCTATAAAACAAACAACACAAATAGTCTTAGACTTTGGCAGGCCAAAGCTAGTGCAGAGGACATAAACTTATTTCAAGTTAACGTTGGTCAATATGAATCTGCTACACAGTTTCACTCTAGTGCTCACCATATTTGTGCTGTCTTTGATCCCGGCGATGCAACAGAAAGTGGAAAACTTTTAAGACTTAAACAACAATGTTTGCTAAGTGGTGCGTCACTTCAGGATACCATATACAGATTTAAGGAGAGGAATGATGGGAAGGGTAGGCTTGATTGGTCTTCATTCCCCTCAAAAGTTGTCCTGTTAGAGGCCAGTGGGAATAGCAATATGAATTTTGCACTGAATGGGTGCCTAATCATAGAAACATTGGACGGGGCTAATATGGAAATCAGAGAGGAAATTGGGGAAGATAATTTTTTCCTTTTTGGTGTAAGAGCTGAAGAAGTGTTTCTTCTGCGCAAAGAAAGAGAGAACAGTCAATTTAAATCAGATCTTAGGATTAAAAAGAGCTTTGTGAGGCAGTTTTCAGATTCCAACCTTGAGGACAAGGTTATTTTGAAGGAGGATGGATTGATAGAGAGCAGGGGCCAGGGAGAGCAAGGGGACTGTGTGGAAGAGGAGGGTCCGAGACCCAAGGGGCTGTCGGTTTACTGCAGGCGGGAATGGGCTTGAGCTCACCTTCGTGGGCTGGTTGCGAGCTTTTTAATTAAAATTTATTATTTTTAATTTTCCTAATGTGTTTCCTATTTGGAGTTAATTATGATTTCTATTATTTGTTTCCTATTAGGAGTTAATTAGGATTTCTATTATTTGTTTCCTATTTGAAGTTGATTAGGATCTCTATTATTTTGTTTCCTAGTTGGAGTTGATTAAGATTTCTAGGATTTTGTTTCCTAGTTTTAGAATTAGTAGATGGGTATTTAAACCCCTTGTTAGGATTCATTCGGGCTCATCTTGGAATAAAGTTGGATTTTAGCCTTTTGGTCCTGGGCAACGGTATTTTTATCGTTGATTATCTGGGCAACGGTTTACCCCGTTGATTTTTATTTTTCGGTTCACAACAGCAGGCTGCAGCATCTATATGCCAGCAAGCAACACCGTCAATCAGACCTCCGAGCAACCTTCTGTCTCCTCCTATTCCGGTCCCGTGACGCGATCCCAAACCCGGGCACATAACAATTTGGTATCAGAGCCAGTTGTCAAGGGTGAACCAGAACAATCTGCCGCCAAACCCTCCATGAATGCCCGAATGAAGGCACTCGAAGATCAAGTCTGTGCCACACACAGGCTGCTTCCTCTAACAACCATCCACCTGGTGATTTTCATGACAGTCAAAGAGATGAACGCCCTAGTTCCATTTTGCCGAAATACTCTCGTTTAGAGTTCCCAGTATTCAGCGGCAAGGAGGATCCGCTCGGATGGCTCCATAGATGTGAGCAATTTTTCCGTAACCAAAACACCATGGATGTCAACAAGGTTTCATTGGCTTCCTACCATATGATGGGCGAGGATCAGCTTTGGTCTTACAACTTGGAATTAAGAGAGCCTAATTTGCCATGGCACCGCTTCAAACATTGTTGCAAGTTACGCTTCGGCCCTCCCCTAACAGATAATGCTCTAGGAGATATCGCCAACTTAAAACAAAGTAAAGGATCAATTGCAGGCTATAATGAGAATTTTCAGAGCCTTTTGGCTCGAACGACAACAGTTCGTGAAGATCAGTTGGTTGACTTATATACTGCTGGACTTGATGAGACTCTACGCATGGAGGTGGAGTCACAGCATCCAAATAGCCTTGAAGTGGCCATGAATCTGACTCGTTCTTAAGACGCAAAAGGCTGCTTAATTCCGCACTGGTACGACCAATCTCTTATGCCGACGGTCCTTGCTAAAAGTCAACCACCACTCTCAACCACTCAAGAAAGACCTAAGTCTCGGGATCCAAAACCTCACCAGCAACCTTCAGAACTCACTAGCAATTCAATTGGACCCTATATACGAAACTCTCGCGCAGCGAGATGGCCCATCGCAGGTCAATGGGCTTGTGTTATAACTGTGATGAAACATATACGCCCGACCATAGGTGCAAACGACTTTTCTATCTTGAACTTGAAGTGTCCAAGGATGATGAAGCCGCAAAAGGGAGCAAACTGGCCGAACCAGAAATCTCTCTTCACGCCATCACAGGAGTTAACCATGCCTAATCCATGCATGTTGTGGTCATAAACAAATGTTCCATAAAGGCCCTCATCGATACAGGTAGTACACATAATTTCATTGACGTGAATACAACAAACCGCTTGGGCTTAGAGATTCAATATTGCCCAAGGCTTTGGGCGTGATGGAGTATTAACTCCTAGAGAGAAGTGAGTGCTAGAGAGAGAAGTGCTATAAATGCTTAATATTAATGATTTGTGAACCCCCTACAACTACCCCCGAGGGGAGTATTTATAGAGGAAATTAGGGCTGGGCTCCCAAGTCTTGGGCTTGGGAGGCCCATTTACAATTGGGCCACTATTGGGCTGAGTACAAAATATGTAGAAGTGATTAAGTGTGAAGTCCGGTTCTGGGAACCCTTTGTGGCCGACGGAGCCATGGCCGAAGGGGACACCCGGTTCTCCTGTCTTCTGGACCATGTTCAGTTGATATCTTTCTGGCCGATGGAGGGCCATCTGGCCGACGGAGGCCCCACTGGGTGACAGTTGTGCCTCTTATTCTTCTGAGTATGTGGGTCCTGGGGTCTAGACCCATATACTCCATCAGGGCGGTTGTGGCTAATGGTGAAAAAGTGGAAGGAATGGGGGTGTGTGAAGATGTGCTGGTTTGCAAAGAGGGACAACTCTTCCCTGTTTCCTTCTATGTGCTTCCACTAAATGGCCTCGAATTGGTACTTGGAATAAAGTGGCTCCAAACACTTGGGGTTGTGTTATGGGATTTCTCTTCCCTCACAATGAGCTTCACTTTAAATGGGAATTCAGAAACATGGACAGGGGAGAATGTTCAAAAACATTATTCTAATCAGGGTGCCCAAATGAAGAAAATTTTCTCCATTCACAAGATCCCAACTCCTGTGCGCACGCTTACTTCACCTGTTCAGGCAGTAGGCCTTCGACAAAGACTTTTCACTTCCCCTCCACAACTATGGTTTGCTAAACTACAAAGCTGTGCACCCCAGGTGATATTCAAGCTGTGGAGTCGGATTCAGGAGGTGTTTATATCCTGCCTTCAAGCTTGAGGGCAAGCTTGACTTTCTGGGAGGAGTGTATTGATACATTCCAGTAGGTAAAAGGCTGAAAGTTCATACGCGGAGCAGACTGGAGGCACACTTTTAGTATTATTAATTTTATTATTATTATTATTATTTATGTCTGCAGTAATTAGTGTTGGTTAATGTGGTAGTGGGTAGTTACTCCTCAGGCAACTAGCAGGGCACTAGGCATTTAGTTGGCGATTAAAGTTTATGGAAGTTATAATCTGTAACCAACCTTCCTCTCTTTAAGAGAAGGTTTATTTTCAATAGTGAATATCTGAAAAAGTTTGTCAATAGTTAGAATCAGGGAGTTGGAGAATTCTCGACAAAAATTCTCATCTTCTTCTTCCACCATTCCACACGATATTCACACTACACGACTGCAGGCTGCAGCATCTATATGCCAGCAAGCAACACCGTCAATCAGACCTCCGAGCAACCTTCTGTCTCCTCCTATTCCGGTCCCGTGACGCAATCCCAAACCTGGGCACACAACAATTTACCTCTATTCCTAAGAGTAGAGAGGTTGTCTCGGTGAAGACTGATGTAAATGTCAGAAGTATTTTTTTAGCGCCCAAGTGTGTGTGCATGCTTATTAATTGCACAATGATTGTTTTAAGCCTCAAGGTCCCATTGCACATTGAGGAACTTGGTGTATCAAAGAACTGTTAAAAGCCACTATCTACAGAATGCAATCAACAACTCTACTGGAGTAGCATTATTAACTCCAGCCAGCCATAATGTGAGTATTGGTAAAATCAGTGACGTGAATGTTACTGCCATTATTGGCGTGTCAATGGGTCGGGTCTCAACCCAGACCCGACTCGGATCCATTTCTTTTTAATGGGTGTGGATCGACCCAAAACCGGATCTAGATCCATTATTTCTCATAATAAATGGGTCGGGTATGGTATATGTGGTTCCGACCCGCTTAGGACCCGACCCATTATATATATAATTTACATATATATCTAATAAAAGTTGCCGCCCAATATCCACATGTCACTGTAATGAGCTTTAAATATTCATCATTATATTAATTCAGTACTATTTAGTATTTACTAATACGCATTTGTATTTACCATATATAATAATAATAATAATAATAATAATAATAATAATAATAATAATAATAATAATAATAATAATAATAATAATAATAATAATAATAATAATAATAATAATAATAATAATAATAATAATAATAATAATAATAATAATAATAATAATAATAATAATAATAATAATAATAATAATAATAATAATAATAATAATAATAATAATAATAATAATAATAATAATAATAATAATAATAATAATAATAATAATAATAATAATAATAATAATAATAATAATAATAATAATAATAATAATAATAATAATAATAATAATAATAATAATAATAATAATAATAATAATAATAATAATAATAATAATAATAATAATAATAATAATAATAATAATAATAATAATAATAATAATAATAATAATAATAATAATAATAATAATAATAATAATAATAATAATAATAATAATAATAATAATAATAATAATAATAATAATAATAATAATAATAATAATAATAATAATAATAATAATAATAATAATAATAATAATAATAATAATAATAATAATAATAATAATAATAATAATAATAATAATAATAATAATAATAATAATAATAATAATAATAATAATAATAATAATAATAATAATAATAATAATAATAATAATAATAATAATAATAATAATAATAATAATAATAATAATAATAATAATAATAATAATAATAATAATAATAATAATAATAATAATAATAATAATAATAATAATAATAATAATAATAATAATAATAATAATAATAATAATAATAATAATAATAATAATAATAATAATAATAATAATAATAATAATAATAATAATAATAATAATAATAATAATAATAATAATAATAATAATAATAATAATAATAATAATAATAATAATAATAATAATAATAATAATAATAATAATAATAATAATAATAATAATAATAATAATAATAATAATAATAATAATAATAATAATAATAATAATAATAATAATAATAATAATAATAATAATAATAATAATAATAATAATAATAATAATAATAATAATAATAATAATAATAATAATAATAATAATAATAATAATAATAATAATAATAATAATAATAATAATAATAATAATAATAATAATAATAATAATAATAATAATAATAATAATAATAATAATAATAATAATAATAATAATAATAATAATAATAATAATAATAATAATAATAATAATAATAATAATAATAATAATAATAATAATAATAATAATAATAATAATAATAATAATAATAATAATAATAATAATAATAATAATAATAATAATAATAATAATAATAATAATAATAATAATAATAATAATAATAATAATAATAATAATAATAATAATAATAATAATAATAATAATAATAATAATAATAATAATAATAATAATAATAATAATAATAATAATAATAATAATAATAATAATAATAATAATAATAATAATAATAATAATAATAATAATAATAATAATAATAATAATAATAATAATAATAATAATAATAATAATAATAATAATAATAATAATAATAATAATAATAATAATACCATAATACTAAATATCCTTATATGACTATATGAGTTGAATCCCTATAAAAAATGTAAAAATAATGGGATCTAATTCCTCTAAATGTTCATCATTATATTTCTTCATTACTACTTACTAGTTTACTACTAGGGACAAGTAATCTTTCTTGTTTCCAGAAAAGTATACCTGTATATTTTGTAGAAATAATACCTCATATATGACTAAAGTAAGTATAGTGGACAAAGATATGATTTAGTAACTTTTAGTGATTATTATAATTGTGTTCAATTTTTACATCATAGTGACTATGATTCTATGAATAAACATTGATAGTCACTTTATCTACATTTTTTGTTCAAATATTTTAAATAAGTTATATCTTAAGAAAAAACTCATAGGATTGTTTTTTATTTGAGAAAATATGGAGTTGGGTTCTAGTGAGCCGCATATAAGACGGGTCTACCTGACCCGATTCCGAGACCCTGTGGGTATGGATCCAGAATAAGAATTCTAGACCCGCCGGGTATATGAGTCGTGTCTGGTACGACATAGAGTTTAATGTGTGGGTCTGGAACACTACGTTCCGACCCGTATCCGGTCCGTTGACAGGCCTAAGTTCCTAACTGCCAAATAGTGTAAAGGTTATGAAGAGAGGATAACAAAATTCTTTAATACTGCAAGTGCAAAAGAAGAAAAGGGATTGTGGTGTCACTGGTGTGTGGTGTGTCCAACAAGGTTTTCTGTTTTTGGGTATTAGAACATGTCAGGGAAAGAAGGGATAGAAAACCTTATAATAGCTTTTGTTGGGAAATACTGTGTACTGATCAGTGATTCATCACTAACATAATAACATCTTAATACCAACTAGTTTGGTTGGTGAAATAGAGGGACAATGAGTACGTAAATTTTCAGAAACCTAATAGATCCAAAATTCCTATATATTATTATTATTAGATAGACAAGCTTTACAAGCCATCGCCCAACTTATAACAGTTCATGGTACTCAGTCAAGGCAAGGCAAATTTGTTCATGCATTATCAAAATGAAATTTTCGATGGATGGTTAAGATTATATACTATCCATATATTTGAAAAGTATCAAATGAATGCGCATCGAGACAAACTTACGATAAGCTTCCAAAAGGGCATTGCAGCAAGATGCAGGAACTGGAGATGATGGTAACTCCCGGAGGATATACTGGAGAGTTTTAGTATTGAAAGTAATATATTAGAAACGAATGACAATGACAGAATGCACAAAATACATTTTTACACCTCTCATAGAAGGAGCTACCTTCACACAATCAGCTATAACATGTGGATCCTCATCTGGAGAAAATTCCTTTTTCCCTGGGTTAGAAGATCAATATTACCAGGTAAATCAGTTCACTGCTTGCCATTCCACCACATCAACATGCAGTTTGCCATAGATATAACCAATGAAAGTTCATTCCACTATTAGCTTTATGATATCAAGTATGTGTATACATTTATGTTTATACTGTATAGGCCACACTGATTGGCTGAATTTTGGATTGGACGTTGAACGATCAATCAATGAAGTGAGAGCAGGTTATCAAATGCCAGCTCTCTATCAATGTGAAAGGGATACGCATAATGCAGTATAAATAGATTGTACACATGCACTTAATGATGACATCTTGAAGAACACATATCATCAGGAAATTGGGTTCGTGAATAATTTCAGAAAACGACAATGTAGACATAATAATTTCAGAAAACGACAATGTAGACATCCTATTAAATCATTTGAAGAACTTCTATTCATGCACAGACCGTTCTCATATTCTCGTATTCGATGCTCAACATCATCTACATCTGCTGCCTGCCGCAAGATTCCTTCCACTCTGACTCCTGAAAAACATTTCCACGTGATCAGCCAATAATCATTGGTGAGGGTGCATTTTAAACCCCATATTTGAAAGAAGAAATGTCAATCGTGGTTTGCTATTATAAACATGGCCTAAATCCGTTTAAAAGATATTCAGATGATGCAAAGAATCTCTATTACGCCATACTACATTATAAGACTATGGAAGGGAAAAAAGAAATCAAGTAAAAGATTGTAGAGTGATAGCTGATTGATTTGTTCTATGGATTTAATTTTGATTTGATAATGGGTTCACTAGCTCATCCATTTGACTATTTTATGAAGTGATTTGCTAAAATTTATTCCTTCCCACGAGTTAGGCAATCTAATTATCTATGCATTCAATCCCTATTATCAAAGTGAACATTGCTTTGCTGATAAAATATCCAAGATAAAATAAAAAAGAAATCAAGGAGTATCGAGACTCCCCAAATTCCAAAGGAGAAGGAAAAACTCCCTAAAAGTCCACTACCCCCTAGATGTGTGCTTTTAAATCATTTCTGTGAATGAAGAACCCTGGCATTAACATTTTAATGTAACTTTTATACCTTCGCTAGATTATCTATTTTAGGAAGTGATTGGCTAGAAATTCTTCTTTCATTGTTTTAGACATTTCTATGTGTGTTGCAAAGAGCCCTTACATCTGTTGTCTTAAATCATTCTCGTGACGCAAAGAGCCCCAATACCTATTGTTTTGGTTTTGCCAGCGTCACGGGAATATTTCACACTTACCACTGATCAATAACCGCTCCTCTCAGAGATACAAATGGAACGACACAAGTTAACAAGCCAATGACACATTCATAAGCTGCAAAATGCATTGCAGAAGGTGCAACTAGAAGTGCAGTCATTAAGTAGTCGGTTGAGACACTTTCTAGACAGACTCACAGACTGATAACTTTTCCCAATCAATAGACTCCTTGCCAGCCGAAGAAGCACCCCCATCAGTACAAACTTCATCTGCAGAAGTTCCGCCTCAACCACTGCAACTCCTAGTGCTAACATTGTTCGTGACATGACGATGCAAACTGCCCTGCTCAAAGAACTTCTCAAAACAACCCGCTTGGACTTTCCATATCTATTTGGTCCAGCAAAATCATCCCAGTTTTTCGTTTTCTCTCAAGGGAATGTATAATTGATTTTGCTAACCTCCGCTTTAGTTCACCTCTACAACAAACTTGCCATCCCCTTCAAGAATACAAGGATAGCTAGCACTTTTTATTAGTGTGTAACCATTCGACGCCAGGTTCAAGTTTTCAAGCTTGAGATCAAGCTTGATTTTCTAGGAGAAGCCTATTGACGTATACCACATTATTATAAGATTATGGAAAAATAAAGGAGCAATCCGGTAGAAGATTGAAGAGTGATAGAATATTGATTTGCTTGATTGCTTTTATTCTTGTTTGCTTTCAATGTGTTTATTAGCTTATCCAATTTAGGAGGTAGTTTGCAAGGACTTCTTCCTTTCCTTGCTTTAGGCAAATCTAAACATTTATGCATGTAAAATAACTGAGATTATATCTTCGTAAAAAACTTTAAAATCCATGTAATTTTCGACGCGATTTCACTATGGGTCATCCGGAAACAGTCTCTTTGTGCTTTAGTACAAGGGTAAGACTGCGTACATCTGACCCCCCCTTACCCCACCGTAAGTGGGAGTCTTTGCGGCACTGGGGTGATGATGATGATGATGATCGATGAGATTATATTGGTGATAGCAAGACTGTATAAACATAAAAGATATATGCAATAGAAAATTCATAGTGACACTGTGACAGGCAATCATAAAACAGCAATTGCAGATCACAGTAGAGCATTCTGTTCTTATGAAGTAAAAGAGAAACAGAAATGTAAAAGAGATACTTATGCCATAAGAGCATGAAGTTGATGCTGTATAACCTTACCATACTCTTCTACAAATTTAAGGGCTTTCTCCAAAAATGACGCAGATCCATCGATATCTTCCAAAGCAAGTAAAATTGGCTGACCAATTACTAATGATTTTGCTGGTTGTCTATCCTTAGCTAGAGAGTGGAGATAAAAAGAGGCAGTGTTAAGTTAACTCCTCGATAATAATTAATAAATAGAAAACAAATGAGTATTTGTCAAAATATCAGCACATGCACAAAAGAAACTCATTCAATATGATGTATGCCTTTAAAGAGCTAAAGTCTAACAATCCCGAAAACATATCTTGTTAACCACTAAAGTCCTTCAGATGAACTTCTTTCACTGAAATCCATTGAATGAGATGGGGATACATAAAATAATATTTCCAAATTTCCAATTACAGTTTAAAAAATTCACTAAATGCCAAGTTTTCCCAGAATTACTCTCACGTGCAGCAGCAAGTCAAAGAAAAAAACTACTGCATACATCTTTTCAAGCAAGAACCTAAAAAAGCAGGCATTCTTTTTCTTTATGAGTTTTTTATTTCTCATAATTAGAACATGTGGAGCTCATGCACCATAAAAACCACTACAGTTAAGTATATAACTATAATAAGAATCAAAGCACCTACACCAAACAGCTTATCTGGTTAAGCGGTGAAGCCACAACAGTAAAAAAACTTACGATGGTCTGAAGCATCAAGTACATTCCCCTGATCATTCCTGAATATTCCATTTTGTCCCACTACAAGAGCAGCATTAGGGGCATTGGCCAAAGCTTCTTCAAGTGCAGCTTTCCACTCGAACAAGTCTTCCGATGTTTCAGCCTAACATATTGGAACTCAAACATGAGACCTCTGAACACAACCCAAAGCTTTATACACTAGTGAGCATGGTTTCAAGAATGAAATAATAGGAATGTGTAGATATAGACACATTTTTGAAACCAACTCTTCTCTAAAGATGAAAATAAGGCAACTCCATATAAATAAGAATTAATTAATCAAATCATTAAGCACTAATTGAGCAATAACAGTTACAGAGGATGAAATATAAGTATGGCCAGCAATGAAAGGGAGAGGATTGAACACAAAAGGCATGAGGAAGATTGGCAGTTGGCACCTTCAGAGTGAAAGCGCGTCCATCACGACCATCAGGAAAGAGCACAGTCAAGAGTTTCTTATCTTCTTTGACAACCACACTGTAAATTCGTTAAGGTGACAATAAGTAACATATGAGGGTGGATGAACTACAACAAAAATATACCATGAGACGTAAGCAAAAGAAGAAATGTTAATAAACAAGTCACAACAATTAAAGAAGGCTTAATAAAAGCCAACCTGCCTGAACTGTTAAGATCGATCCCTCCAAGTGTTAAATTTACTTCACCACCCTTTTTAGGAGCAACAGTCTGAAATGTACGCCCAGTTAATAAGTATATATATAGGGTTATTTTCATTATTTTATTTAATAAAATAAGAAAGTAAGGTTAGACCTAGTGCACAGGATACCTGCACTGTGCAGGGTTTGGAACAAGAAAGATGTAAGCAAAGCTGTAGCTACTAAGTGTCATAGTATGAAAACATAACAGCCCAAAAACACTAGGTTGAAAGATGACCGAGATAATAAATGCATAAGCAAGTGAATAACCTCTCTAGCTTTAATGATAAAAAAGGCAACCACAGAATTGTGTCCCTCACCACACATGGAGCCATAAGCCATTAAGCACACCAAAAGGTATTTTAGTAGCTCAAATAACTAGTACTCCTTATTATACAATGACAACAACAACGACATTACCCCGTTGTTGCAAAGGCTCCCACCTACGGTGGGGTAAGGGGGGTCGAATATACGCAACCTTACCCATGTACTAAAGCACACAGAAACTGTTTCCAGATGACCCATGATGAAAATCACGTCGAAAATTGCATGGACTAATTGTTGCTTCATAACAAAGAAGCACAGACAATTTAGTGAGCCATTTTTTATTTATATGGATATTATGGATCTTAAGAAGTGGTTTAGTAGTCCACTTTGGTAAAGATATAGTACTCATTTACCATCGCGATTGCAAGCAATTTGTTACATTTTAATATATGGATCTTGAGAAGTGGTTACGAGCACAGCATAAGGGACATCAAAAAATATTCCCAGAACTTATAAACGAGATGCCAAGACAAGTGTGATCAATCACTAATGCCTCAAAGTTCCTTTAAGGCAGGCAGAGTGAGAAAAGATACATACAAAAAGGATTTTTCACCCGAAAACATAGTAACTCAACATTAGTGAGAGTGCAGATTTTAGAAGTAGTTTACTCCTTAGCGATAAAACAGATAAACCGAGATAATGAGATATACATCTTTAAATTAAGAAAAGACGTTTACAGGATCAGTTCTGAAGAAAACCAATGAAGTACGTGTTAAAATGAACCATCTTTTCTTCCATGTTGTCCATCCAATGCCAACTGCAGAAGAGAATAAAAAATATGCTCAAAACGTAATTGCAGCAATGGAAGAATTTGAGATTTTTTTTATTTCTCCCTTCTGGTGATGAGTTACACACAAAATCTTATTTACAGGAATTCCAGCATAAGCAACATACATCCAGAAGATATGGATAATGGTGTACCACAGTCCCTAAGCACCATAACTATATTCCGTGAGATACAGTTCAGGGAAGTGTATATATTTATTTCCAATAAAATGATGTAAAATGTGATCATGCAGAAATTGACACAACAAGGGTGGTACTAGAAACAAGACCTCGAACAAAACTTTTTTAAATGGAAGGGGTGAATCTATTACAAAAAATACATCCTTTTAGAGAAGTTGCAGCCAAACAAACACGAGCAAGCCGGTTTCTTAACTTCAGTTACATACTACAAAAGACTCCTACAGCTTTCACAATGAGGATCTATTCTTTTAGTGTGGCATAGGAGGCAAAGATAGTAAATTGATAGTTCAGTAACAAAGTATATGGAGAATGAAATAAATTGTAATTCTAGGTCTATGTAAAATGAAAGAGGTTATAAATTTTTTCTAAATTGTAGAAATTGACATAAGCACATCAAAAGCTATTAGAAATATGAGAAAGTGCCAAAGTGTTAAAAGCTTCTTTATGTAGTTCCGAAAACAGAGAGCTTCTTCGAGCAAAAACTAGTAAGGAGTAAGGACAGACCTTTGGATGATAAAAACAAAGGCCCACTTTTGTAGACCTGCAAAGCCAACACAAGTCCATCAGCCTAGCAGCCGCAGTGTAAGTGTGCAAGTACACATGCAAAACTTAATTTCATGAAAAGGGTAAAAGATCTTCCAATAAACGTGATGAACCTTATTTACAAAGAGCATAAACATTAGTGTCAGGCAAAAAACATCGAACAATCTTTCATTTATAAGGTAATGCGATTCTAAATAAAGGGATTAAACATGTGCAAATGGGTAGAAGATTCATCCACGGTACTGAATCAGGATTCAGGACCAATTAGTCTTTATAAATTGTACTAAATCTGGGTTACACGCGATCAGTTAGGTCAACTGTACATTATAGTTAGTTTTAATTTACTTTTTAGTCCACTAATGTGTAGTTTCAGTGGCAAAGGGCAGCCTCCATTTTTCTTGTTTATTGTATATATCAAATAAGGGAAGACTTTATCATATATAATGCAAATGTGCAATCATTTGGTCATGAAAATATAAGAAATCACACATGTTGATATATCATATACGCATTTACGTTGATGATGATACTAATAAAGATAATGATTACGATTAATTGTTTACCTTATTTCCACTGCGAAATTGTTGAGCTTGGTTATCATTGCCACCTGAAAGAGGTGGATTGCCACCTTCTCCCTGAAACACAGACATCACACGTGATCACAAATTTACAGCAACAGGTATTGTTGGTGTGTCTGATGATACCTGTGAAGCGTCAGAGTTGCGGATAGGCATGGTACTATTCCAAATGGCTGAAAATAGATACCTCGATCTTCGTCACCATCCTATATTTCTCAAAAATCGTTTCCAATTAGGGTTCGGTTTAGCTGGAAAGGGGGGATCAGAGGAAAAGTAGGGAAAAGGAAAGAAAGAACATTTTGCCTACCTTTCAGACTGCAATTACACCGAAATGGAAATATAATGTTAACGGGTAATCATTGTGGAGAAAGATGGGTAAAGAGAGAAAGCGTTTTCTATCGTGAACTGAAAGTTTATGCTTTTTTTTTTGTTGAAATTTTTTTCTTTTCTTTTTGAAAATAGAGGAAGTGACGACGGGGTTCCGGAGGAGTTGGGCTAAGGGAAACCCGACGGCCAAGGAAAGAAAGCGAGATATCTTCTCCGGCTTTTTTCGAGGGCCGAGGATGGCGGAGACATTTGCCATTGATTTTCGTGCGAATCGGACGAACATGGATGTCCTCTGTCCCCAAATTCCCTACTTGTATTTTGGAGGGAGATGCAACTATCAGCGTTTTTTCGGTTGAGCGAGAGCCGACTGGACCAAAAACCATGATACTAGCCCCAAAAGAGTGTTTTGTAGTTTGTGTTTGGCTGATTTTAGTTTGCGTTTGGTTGATTTTAGATCATATTATATTATATTAAACCAAATCAGATTAAGATAGATTGGAGCGGATAAAAACAATTGGTTCAATTAAAAATTAAAAATATCTTAAAGTCTGAGTTATAAATGATAAATATTGGAAACGGAGACAAATAAAAAAGTTCAGTTTTCTAGTTGCATTGTCATGATTTTCTAAACTCATATTCTCTTTTCCATGTTTTCTTATTTATATCTCTTTGGGTCGTATTTCCACTCTCGTATATGTTTTTTCTCTATCACCTCTTGTTTTCATAAATGATCACTCGATATTCCACACACATAGTCAAACCATCAATATCAAAATAATAAAATATTAGTGAACTAAACTAAACAAAACACCGGCGTTATTTCAATTGCATATTTTTAATTCAATGATAGTTATTCGTAAAAAATTAAAACAATATCATACTACGTATTAAAAGATTAGTATAATCACTATGTATAGGTTTTAAAATGTATACCGATTATTTATACTATGATTGATCTTTTTTTAAATAGGGTGGATCCATAGTTGTTCAAAAGTGTTTACTGTGTCCAAGAATTCTCCCAAAGAGTTGTCTTGTTCTGGCTTGTCAAAGAGTTTGGATTCTCGGACCACTTCAAAGGTGGCATCTCAGTATACATGTTCCTACTCCTCAAACCTCAGAGTCACTTCAGCTTCATGAGTGGGGGACATGGGGTCTACACCTCGACCAACTTACAAAAATGCAAAACACGTGAGATTGGAACAACAATGTAGGGATGCCATTATCACCATGGACTCAGTCATCTCGGCACCAAACGCATAAATCAAAAGGCAAGATCAAAGTCAAATATCTCTACTCTCTTTCACCTCAAAGACTCTCGACTTAGAGAGTGCGGAACTTCTGATAGAGTATATGGGCCCAAACCTACGACCCACACATTCTTAGACACACAACGACCCAACACCACCTGGGGCCTCTCAACAAAATCCCGTCCAGAATGAAGAAGTATGCCCATTGTCTGCACCTTCACCTCGGGCATCACCTCGGACCTGTCACCTTGGTCAAAGAGCCCGAACAGATCACTCAATAACATGGTCAACACCAGACTCGAGGTGCATACCAGCACCTCGGCCACTATCACCTCGACCAACAGAAAACACCAGACCAGGAGTTGATTAAAGAATGACACGCGCCACACTCTGACATGCAGCACGGCTCTCGCCCATAAAATGGCCAATACGTGTGTGTATTGCATTTAATGCATCACCTCATTAATTATTAGTATAAATACCCCCTTTGGGGGGTGCAGTTGTGAAGGGTTCAAACCTCATTTAATATCCATCTCTTTATCTCTCTAACTCGTAACTCTCCCTTATCTCTATAATATCACTAGTGATTTACCGGAAAGTTATAAGTATCATACCTCCGAAATGCATGTCTACGTGATTTTATTTTTTTGTGATACGAAGTATTTAGTTGTTTGCTTAAAAAAATAGACTTCGTGAATTTGCACTCTATATGGGGGTTTTATGAGTCTCAATATAGTTAGGGTTGAGTTTAGGTAGAATCGACATTGGTTAATGTAAATGTGCCTCATACTTTCTCAAGTATTTATCATCCAGTTCATATTTGTTTGATGTTTTAGAAAAGAGTTTTTGTCACTTTTGGTCCCCCGAGTATTGTGGCAGTGACACTTTTGGTACACGACTTTTAATTTTCATTTTTTAGTCCTCGACTATTGTTCGTGAGACACGTTTAGTCCTCTACTTTCAAGTTTCCCACATTTAGTCCTTTGAGTATTATCAAATTGACACTTTTAGTCCTTCTACTATGATTTTGAAACAATAAGTGGAGGACTAAAAATGTCTCTATTGCAATAGTTGAAGGACCAAAAGTGTCACTTCTACAAAAGTCGAAGGACTAAATATGGAAATTTTCAAAGACGGATACAAAAAGTGTCTCTCGCACAATAGTCGAGGACTAAAAGTGGAAAAATTAAAAGCCGAGTATCAAAAGTGTCACTGACACAATAGTGAGGGGACTAAAAGTGGCAAAAACTCTTTTAGAATGTCGGAAACATCAAAAGACCCTTTTATATACTCCCTCTGCCCAAAATTATTGTCTCGTTTGATTTTTCACACAGATTAAGAAAATGGCACTGCAACGACACTGTTCGGCACTGTAGCGACACTGTTTGGCACTGTAGCGACACTGTTTGGCATTGTTTGACACTGTTTGGTATAGATTTGTTTACCAAATAAGAAAGTTTTAGAAACGGGACAATTATTTCGGGACGGACCGAAAAGGAAAGCGGGACAATAATTTTGGAACGGATGGAGTACTTTAAAAGTGTAGCAATAAAAACATTTTTATTATTTTTAATAAAACATTTCATGTGATCATACTTACCAGTTTCAAATTTGAAATAGTATTGTTTTTCTTTTGTGTCCCTTTTGACTCGATTATTTGTATAAGTGATTTTTAATTTTTATCCCGCATCGGTGACATGAATGAGATTCCCTTTTAAAACATTTGTATAAGTAGTTTGGTTTATTTGGTCTGTTTAAGTCTAATATAGCCTGAACAAGTTTGGTCTGATCAACTCTGGTAAGTGTTTGGTCTCCGTGCAATTATAATTGTCGAAATGTAATTTAGTTTAACTGGTTTGTTCATGTTTAATAGTGTCTATTTAAGTTTGACTTGACCCTGATAGTCCCGAAACTTAACAATCAAACAATCATAACAGGTATAAAGAAACAGATAGAAAGATATCAAGATTAACAACACATTTGGTATACCGTGTAAACTGGCCGCTGCTCTCCCCGGAGAAGGAGAGCAGCGGCAAACCCTAATCTCTCTATCTCTGCGCCTCTATTCTCTAAAGTCTTGAACGTTAGGGTTCCCGTAAGTTAGCATCCTTTTATAGGAGAAATTGGCTAACTTACGGGTTACAAAGAAGCTAACGGGCTGATGCACATCTGTGGCCCGTATTACACGTTTAATTAATAACTACACAAATACAAAGATATTTCATTAGATTGGACACCATACAATATTCTAACAATCTCCCCCTTGGTGTTCAATCGTGTTGAATCACCATTGCAGCGCAGATATCTTTGTCTTTGTTATTATTCAACTTCCTTTGTCTTCGAACTCGACTTCTGAGGAAGGCTTTCTGAAGAAGTCCTTCCAATCTCCCCTCTGATGTCTTCTTGGCAATTTGTTCTTTGACGCCGGGGGTTGAGGGATCTTCAGTATCTTGCATGTAGTCATTGCCTTCTAGAAGTTGCTCTTGATCAGCTTGAATGAAGTCCGGTGACCCCTCTAGAATGAATATTCTTTGGAGAATATGAGACGCCCATGGAATTCATCTTCAGGACACGAGTATTTGACCTATGTCTCCTCCACAATGTAGTCTTTTTGACTATTTGAAATGAATGCATTTGAGGAGAACTTGTCCGTGGTACAACGGAACATAATGATGGTTGACTTGTGAGCGTAGCTGACCATTTGAGTTGCGGAGATAGTAGAGAGAGTGTTGGAGGAGAGAAGTGTCCTAGAATGATTTTTTTTGACATTTAACATCATGTGGACCACTCTCCCCCTCATGACGATCCGATGACTCGGGGCGTCATGCCTTTATTCTTTTATTCTGCGGAAATAAAAACAGGAAAAACAAGCAGAATGTAAAGAAGATAACGTAGCCCCCCGAGGTCGTGAAGACGCCCATTATCATCACTATAGTGATAAACTCTGAAGTGATGGCCTGAAAATGTTGGTGATTCTTATGTTGCAACATCAGGGCTTCCTTCAAATCATTAGTCTACATCTGTAATAGATGAGCCCTATGGAAGTTCTCGCAGGTCATGTAGACCTGCAACTGACTCTAAAAGTACGTCTGTGTCCTAGAAAATTTCAAAACATTTGGGAGTGAGGTAACTAGACACGACGTGATCAATGAAAGTTCAGTGGCATGGGGCTGAGGCCACTGTAGTCAATATCACTTGCCTCGGAAGGAGACAGTAATAAGAGATGCGGTTCCCCGTAAAATATGATTAAACACATGTCTGTTGGGAGACAAGTGAGTGGTCTTGGGTAGGGTTAAACATGCACTGTTGGACAAGATGTAGTGACTTCTACCCGGGATCTGATTAAATCAGTCCTGACCCTATTTGGGAATTGTCCAGAGTATTTGAGTGGCTAGGAATAAATGTTCAATACATAGCAGGCAGTTGAGGTAGCAGACTCATTATTGATTATTGTTTTCCTTCTCACTTGAGCCTTCTGCTTCCTAACTCTCATAATGATTACTCACTCACTCACTTACTCTCGGCTTTGTCCCTTGGGTAGGCTTAGTTGGGTTTACTAAGTCATAGGAACATGTTCTCTCATTGATTTTCTCTCTGTACTCCCCCTCAACTGGAGCACTCGGTATGCTTTGTCATTGTTAGGCATCGGAGAGGATAACATTGAACACCCCCCTAGAATGTTGCACCCGTTGAGAGATTCCTTGTTTTGTCGGTGTAAGACGCCAGGAGGAGAAAACTGAAACTCCCCCTCAGAATGTGCAAGGATTGATTGCTCACACCTCGTCATACCCGCCATGTGTGTGGAGCAGTCTAAACACGTACCACACATGACGGTTTCCCGAAGCTCATCATTTGGAATTTCAACATGTTTGAGGATCACATAATGTTGATGAGTTATGGGAGGCTTCAGTAGTTGATTGTTGATTGTTGTAAGATGAACGTTGACGCGAGGTTGATTGAATTATCTACGATTTTCGGACCTCTACAATGGAGCTTAGACCTTAGGTTTGACTTTGAAAGAATTTGATCAGATTTGCCTAAGTTTTGACCTAGACATCGGTGATTTACAAAGTTTGTCGGAAAACTAACGTGTTGACCCTCAAGGACTGCGAGAGAGGGCGCGTGAGAAAGGGTTCTGGAGCATAGGCCTAGAAAAAATGTAGATCTTTTCGTTAGCTTTCCAACAAAAAAAAAGTTTGCTAAAATCGAATCACCGAGTCAAAAGTTGTGGCCAAAACAGTGTGGTGTCGCAGAAAATCTCGAATTTTGAGTTTTTGAGGAAATTCTTCGAGGTTGAGGTTCTTGATGTTGAATTTCGAGAGCAGGTGAAATTAAATAAAATTCTAAGGCAAAAACTCGAAATCCTAACCTCGAGGTTTAAATCTCGAGATTTTAATTTCGAGTTTGCCTTAAAGAGTAATGGTAAAATCCATCTGCAAAACAAACCTCAAAAATTCCGATGAAGTGCGAAGAATGTCAAGTTTGTAGAATTCATAGTTTCAAGAAACTGCAAACTTTGAAATAATCAAAACATGGAGAAATTCCAAAAATCTCGAAATCTTTCAGAAAGTCGAAATCCTAAACATCGAGTTCCTAAAACTCGAAATTCCAAAACTCGCAATTTTAAAACTCAAAATTTTAAAACTCTCGAGTTTAAAACTCTTGAGTTTTAAAACTCTCGAGTTTAAAACACCCAAGTTTTAAAATTCTCGAGTTTTAAACTCTCGAGTTTCAAAACTCTCGAGTTTTAAAAACTCTCGAGTTTAAAACTCTCGATTTTTAAAACTCTCGAGTTTTAAAAACTCTCGAGTTTAAAACTTTCGAGTTTAAAACTCTCGATTTTAAAACTAACGAGTTTAGGAATTCGAGACCCTAAATGTCGAGTTCCTGCAAAATGAAAACTTCGAATTTTGAGAATCTGAAAACTGTTCTGAATAGCCCTGAAGGTCGAGATTCCTCCTGTATCTGTTTCAAGTCAAAATCGTTTTGCAGTTATGTAAAAGCATAAACTCTACATTTCATGTAGAGTTCTTCAAAGTTGAAAATTTGCAGAAATCGAAAAAGATAATATGCTGTAGAATCGGTTTTGAAAGGTGATTCCAACAGTATAATTTTTACAGATTTTCATTCACAAACAAGATTACAGGAGAAAAACTCTATATTGAAGAAAAAGAGAAGAAAAGCAGAGCATTTTTTCGTTAGATCCAAAAAACGCAGATAGATTCAACCTGTTTCACGCCTCGGCTCTGATACCAACTGATAGTCCCAAAACTTAACAATCAAACAATTATAACAGGTATAAAGAAGCAGATAGAAAGATATCAAGATTAACAACACATTTGATATACCGTGTAAACTGGCCGCTGCTCTCCCTGGAGAAGGAGAGCAGCGGCAAACCCTAATCTCTCTATCTCTGCGCCTCTATTCTCTAAAGCCTTGAACGTTAGGGTTCCCGTAAGTTAGTCTCCTTTTATAGTAGAAGTTGGCTAACTTACGGGCTACAAAGAAGCTAACGGGCTGATGCATATTTGTGGCCCGTATTACACATTTAATTAATAACTACACAAATACAAAAATATTTAATTAGATTGGACACCATAAAATATTCCTAACAGACCCGTTTTTGAGAATAGGGTTGTAGATGAATCAGATAATTTATGCTTGATTCGGAATTTGAATTCCTATAAGACGATTCGAGTTCGAAAAATTCAAATACAAATACAAACAAGAATACTAAATTTGATTTGAAATGTTATCAGATACAAATATGAATATCAGTATATTCGATTCGAATGTTAATCAAATATATTCGATTATTGATAGTGGTAGCGTTAATAATATTAATATTATTAGTAATAATAATAGTAAATAATAATAATAATAACAACAACAACAATAATAATAATGATAATAATAATAGTAATAATAATAATGAAAAATTGATGGTAATAATCCCAACTATTGGCGGTCCGCTCATAATAATCTCAACTATCGATTATTTCAGAATAATCCCAACTTTAAGGACGTTCCGCCAATATTGGTCCGACGTGACCGACTATCTGTTCAGTCAGTTAAAAAAGAAATACCCGATTATAATAATCCGAAATATCATCTGTCAACTTCTGATGGACCCAAAAAAATAAATTTAAATATCCATAAATATATAGAAAAGGTAAAAAGATTATAAAGATTTATTTTTACTTTAACTTTTTTAGATAGCTTGTAGAATTAAAGAATATAAAATATATAATTATAGAATACGGAAAAACTTATATGAATTTCAAAATTAAAATTACATAACATGTAAGCTAAGATACTCCCTCCGGTTCTTATTTAAGTTTACACTTTCTTTTTTTAGATGTCTCAACCATGTTTACACTTCCTTGTTTAGCAAATAAATCTACACCAAAACAGTGCCAAACAGTATCACACAATGTACCCTACAATAAAATTTCTTAATTTGTGTGAAGTCAAAGTATCAAGTTAATTATGAAGCGGAGGGAGTATTTTAAAGGATAGTAAAAAGGTCAATATAAAAACTTTAAAGGATAAATGAAACTCAAATTAATTACAAAATCAAATGAAAACTTTGATTTTCAAAATTAAGAAAGTGAAAAAGATAAAATTACTAATACTTATTTTCAAAATATATAAAAAAAATAAAAGCCAATCATCCTAAAATATTAAATCATTTTAAAGTAGTTAAAAACTAATAAAAACCGTGAATTGTAAAAGAATTCAAAAACAACTATTTATCAAAAAACATTCTGAGAATAATAATAAATCAAATGTAAATTTTTTTATTTCTAAAATGCAACACGTTTTAATATTCAGTTAAACTTTCATTTATAAAATTTAAAATCTGAAATTTAAATAATTATTTCTACTTTCTGTAAAAAAAATTGAGTTGATAGTTGGAATTATTAAAAAAAGAGCAAACATAGTTCAGATTATTTATTGAATAAGCTTAATTTCTATTAGAATTGACCTGTTATAGCAGGTAGTAACCGGTCATGGACCACTATTGACGGATGGTTCATAAAGTTGAGATTATACAAAAATAATCAATAGTTGGGGTTATTATTAGCGGACCGGAAATAGTTGAGATTATTTTTTTCAAATTTTCCTAATAATAATAATAATAATAATAATAACAATAACAATAACAACAACAACAACAATAACAATAACAATAGTAATAATAGTAACAACAACAACAATAATAATAGTAATAGTAGTAAGGGAAATCGCATATATGGTCTCTCAGTTATCCACGAAATTAAAATCTCAGACTTGTATTTCTGAGATTGTAAATGTCACCCCTAAAATGTCCAAATTGTTGTAAATGTGGTCCTTTAAGTGGTGAAATGTACTCTCGCCCACATTGTATATTTCATCCCTCAAAAGGACCACATTTACAGCATTTTGGACAATTGAAGGGTAACATTTACAATCTCAGAAATACAGGTTTGAGATTTTAATTTCGTGGATAATTGAGTGACCATATATGTGATTTTCCCTAGTAGTAATCTACATGGGTTATAACCGATGTGAAACACACATGTTCCGAAAAAAATGAAGCTTTTCACATCAGTTGTGAAATAACCGATGTGATTTCTTTTTTACATGAGTCATAATCGATGTGGAAAACCTATGCTCCGGGAAAAATTGAAGCTTTTCCACATCAGTTGTAAACTAATCGATGTGGTTTCTTTTCTACATGGGTTATAACCGATGTGAAAAATCATTAAAAATGTCGTTTCGGACTATCTTCTAGATCGGGCACTAAACGACCGATGTAGAAAGACTTTTCACATCGGCTATTTGACCGATGTAAAAAATCAATACTTTTCACATGTGCTGGAACCACATCAGCTGTTTGACCGATGTGAAAAGCCTTTTTTGACCGATGTGAAAAGCCTTTTTTGTACTAGTGACTATAATAACTTTAAAAAGCTAGCTATGCCCTCAAATCGTAACACATGTATGCATTATTTACCTATACACATCCAAACCAATTTCTAATAAATAAAAAACATCATAAGGAGTAAGGGTATTAAATGAAACAAATAATTTTAATTCGAATTGTGTTTTGGATTCATAAATTGTGATTTAAATTTGAAAAAATAGAAAATATATATGAATATAAATCTAATGTTTGGTTCAAACAACTTTCAAATACGAATACAAATGATTATGTATTTGATTCGGAGAATAATAAAATATATATATTCGTTTATACATAAACAAAATCAACTATCTAGTATGTGTATGTGCCATCAACTACCCACTATCTGTGTGTAATATAAACTATATATCTAATTGTGTTTTTTTATTATCAACAACGCAAAATTTCTACCATAAAATTAGAGTCGTTTAACCTTTTTTTTGACAAATTAGAGTTGTTTGACTTTCATATACAATTATCAACTTATTTCACACAATATAGGTATAATCTCTAATATGTGTGAGTTAATGTTTTTTTTTTCAAAAACTTTGAAATATATTTATGTATAGTACTACATAAAAATGTGCACAACAAAAAAATGCATAAAAATGGTTCACTTTAATTAGTATATTGTGCACAATAAAAAAATGCATCGATTCATTAAATTTTAAAGAAAAATGAAATTTCACAAATTAAGTTCTAAAAACACATATTATGTCATAGCATGCACTTATGACATAAGAAATACGTAATACGTAGTATAAGAAACGTTATTTTAAAGTGATATTTGATTAATATTTAACTTATGATCAAATTGATCAATTCAATATTCATAATTTATTCGTTAACTATTCGTATTGTTAAACAAATACGAATACAAATTGAAATTAACATTCACCATATTCGAATTCGGATTCAAAAAAATTAAACCAATACAAATATAAAATGACATTATTCCACTCGATTGGGATGAGTTTAGAACACTATTTGAGAATGACATGGGTTCAATTAAAACATCTGATCCTTTAGGGCCAAAGGCAATGGCGACATTATTAGTCTCAGCATCTCTCAACAATCCCTTTTCATACTCGCATATCCCCATTTCTTCAAGCAAACCCGTTTTATTGTTCCCCAATTTTCTCCAATTTACCCCAGTTCATCGTCACCCTAGCAACAGAAGCTCTTCTCGTGATCAAAGATGGCATAAAGCTTTCGCTAAAAATTCAAGCAAAAACGAGGAAGAAGAAGACCCATCAATCCCCTCATGGGCCAAACCCGGTTCTAAAGATCCGCCTCCATGGGCTAGAGATGAGTCCCAAAAAGAATCTCTCAGCTTCGAGATTCCCTTTTATGTGTATCTTCTTGCCTCAAGTATCACTGCTATTGCTGCCGTAAGCAATTCTTGATCCATATATGCCATATATTGCAAAAAAAAGTATCTTGATCGATTCCTGAACCGGGCTCTTTTTGGGCGCAGGTCGGGTCGGTTTTTGAGTACGTGAATCAAAAGCCGGTTTTTGGTCTTTTGAACTCCGATAGTGTATTTTACACTCCTCTTCTTGGGTTCTTTGCTTTTACAGGCATTCCCACTTCTGTAAGTATTTTATTTTCGTCTATTTCCCATTGCTAGTTTCTTCTATTGGTTTTCCTACATTAGGTTTGATTTTTCCATGCTAAAGATGAATTACGTAGTAAATAGCTTTTGCTAATATGTGTCTTCTATGTGGTAAGGATCAATTAATATGACTAACTTTTAAGTTTAAAAGAATATATTACACTTTCAATATGATAACCAATAAATATTCATTGACTGTGTTTAATCTTATACCCATAGACAAACTTTAGAAACACAAGTGTTGAATTTACAATAAAAGTTTGGACCTCTTTCCATGTCAATACATTGGAGCTAGAAATCCCATATTCTAGTTGGTGCCCCTAAACCTAAAATTGTGCGAGGGGCTGCGTTATTTTGTTGAACATTTTTTTTTGAAATTATAGCTGAAAGAGTTGCATATGCTGAATTAGTAAGACCTTCAATGGCCAAATGGCTGCTGAATTAGGTGAATTTGCAGAATTTTTGTGGCTTAAATGGCTTGCTCTGTCTTGAAATATCTAAAAGATATAGTAAAAGTATTTTTTGATTTTTTTATCAAATTGTACTCCACAATCTCAAGTGATGGCGAACATATGCTATTGTTTTCAGTAGTTAAGCTTTTTCAGTTTTTCCTAGTTTTCCACTCTTCTTTATAGCAAACATATGTTATTGTTTGGCAAGCAAGAAAGAGGGGGTGACATGTGTGATTACGTTATCTTTGATGTGGTTTAATAACCATAAAATGCAGCATATATAATGTCATGGTTGAACACTTGAACAAGAAAACAACCATACTGAACAAACAAATCAAAACTGGATCGACCATATCTGAAATGGACCAAAGTTGACCTGTTAATAGGGGTTGGTTTATGGTTTATAGATTTTACTTCAAAAACAACCAAACTGACAAAACATGCCAAAACTGGCATTAGTTGCTCGATTCTCTGCTCTGGATTACAAGTGATAAAAACTGAACTTATCACATTGAAACCGACCATATTAAATCGATGAACACTCCTGAGATGATTTAATATATCTGTATTACAATTGCAGGCATATCTTTGGTTCAAGTCAGTTGAAGTTGCTAACAAGGAGTCAGATGAGCTAGACAAGAGGGATGGGTATCTTTAGCTTCTTATACTCCATCGCCCCTGAAAAAGGCTCCTTTCTTTTTTGGAATGGCGAAAAATAAGGTTCATAAAAGTAAAAATTGTGTGGTTCATATTGTTTCTTTCTATCTCTGTATAAATGTCATTCTATGAAGCACAAAAACTCTCGGGAAACTCTACGCCCTTTTCAGAAACTCTACGAAAACTCTTTGAAAACTCCACAACGCCCTTTTCTTATATTAAAAGATGATGTTGATCATTCATGTTTCCCCATGAATGAATCTCATGGTTCCATGTGACATAGATCTTACTTGTACGGTTCGACGGTTCTGATCGAATGTGTACAAGTTAAAATAAGAACTTTTAAACGGGAATACAGTAAATGACAAAATGTTACTGAAGTTATAAGATGGATGTGGCTACTTGCATTGGGTTAATGCTAATATATCACCTCTCATTCCCTCCTAATCTGAAACACGACAACATTATACTTCTCACTTCCTCCTTCACTTGTGGTCTTGTACAGTGGAAAGGTCCATTTATTTAAATCTTAAACCATGCCACTGTGTATGACTCAAATTCTGAATTGACAGAATGCATATAAAGTGTCCTAAATAGGACAGTAAAACAAGTTTCCTAAATAGGACAAAAGCAACGAGAAAATTTCATCATAGAAGTTTAATTGATTTGTTATTCCCCTAATAATCCGTAGAAGTTACTAATTACGGTGGAGGGTGACGCCGTAAGTGGTAGAATAAATATGCTATGTTTTTGAATAAAATAAAGAAAAATAATACCTTCAAATAAAGGGGCTATTCCCTAAATATTACTCGTTACTAAAATAAAGCTAATTTCCGAATATTCATGTCACTGTCCCATTTTCATGTCACTTTCGGATGTCACTGTCGCCATCATTATGTCACTGTCGTCGCTGCAATCGTCTGTGTCACTGTTGTTGCCTTCATCTGTGTCACTGTCGCCGTGGTCGGCCACAGTGACATCTCCGCAGTGATACCGTCGCAGCGACACGCAATCTCCGGTGACTTTTTCTATCGCCATTGTCGTCTACCACTGCCTCACCCCATCCCCATGCCTCAGCACCCCAAACTGCAGCCCCTACCCTTGCCCTGCCACATTACCTAAACGCTGGTGACCTCTTCATAAAAACATCCTTGACCCAATAGCCCCCAGTCCACTGCCCCACCCCTGGCTCACCCCTTTTCCAACCCTTTCTACTCATCGTTGCAGAACATAATGCAAAACCAAAGAAAAATATGGCTAGAAGAAGAATATGATCTAAATCTAGATCTAGATTTAGCGATGGCGACGAAGAAAACCAACGGCCATCGTGATTACACTTCGTCGCTGCAAACAATCGTGGGTAGTCGTCATCTTCAGCCGACCGCCATAGTCTCCCATCAACCGTCGAGCGTCCGCATTTGGATCCTCTCTGTAAGTTGCCAAACGGAGCCATGTACATGATAAGAAGAATCGTCGCCATTAGGAAAGATGATCCGCCACCGTGAGGAGAGGTGTGGTGCCGCCAACAGGACATATGAGGTGGCGCCAGGAGAAGAGATGAGGTTTGGTCGGAAGGGAGAATAGATTTGCAGCGAGCACGGTGGTAGGCAGCCCAAAAGGGTCGAGTAGGTATGGGTAGGTGGAGTTGCGCGATCGGCGAATGGTATTCCAGAGCAGAGACCCGGATGGAGTTTACTTAACTCACTTTTATGTCCAATTTTATATTGGTCATATTTCTATCCATTCAAACTCTAGTAGTAATACTTTTGCCATTGTTTCTCAAATAAATGTATGAGGGTCGTATTCTTTTGTTCACATTATTTCAATTAACTGGTAACTCTTGATGTACTTTTCAAAAAGGATTTATCACAAGATCAGACGTGCCAAACGAATTGGATTCACAAGATTGTTTTCTTTAGTTTACAAGTTTTTTTTTTTTTTTTTTGTTAGCATTGACTCTAGCTTCCTATTTCAACTAGTGTGGAAAGGTTCTTTCTGCAATGAATATGTAAAGGACAGATTGATCAATCAAATGCCTGACAAATTGTTGAATGGTTGGCTTCTTATTCATGATCAAGTGGTATCACCATTTGATGTCTTTGGACAATATCTGTACTCCGTATAAAAGAATTAAAAATGTCAATATCTGTACTTTTGCCATTTTTTATTTTTATAAAAGATATCTATATTTGTTAGTGTTATTAAAAGATGTGCAAATATTGACGAGTAGTTTAGTAGATCAAGATAGATGTTTTGAAGACGCAAAATGTTATTTATTCAAAATATTTTTTATAAACAAATGTAAAAACATTAAATTATATGTAGTATACAAATATAATAATTAAGATCAAAAAAATTAATATGACAATTTTTTTCAGTATAGTAGTACGTAATAATTACAAATAACTCTATGGGAGAAAAAAATCCTACTCGGCTACTCCAAAACACAGGAGGATATTATCATGTAATCATGTTATCAGACTTTTACACTCATCTATAGTGATCTACCTCATAGCTTACCCTGCTTACAACGAACAAGCTACCATAGCAACCGAGACTACAGAAAAAACTTTGGATATAAAGTAGGGAAAATGGAAACTAATAATTCAACCTTTTAGCGGTTTCTTATAATAGTCCCACCTTTTGATTATTCGGGAATAATTCAACCTTTGCACCCCATCTTAATTCAATGGTCCCTGATCGGTTGATGGTCTGCTATTTCAAGTTATTTTCTTATCTTTGCAATATATTATACCATAAATCTCACCTTATGGTCACATAATGTTTAGCAAAATCCTCCTCCTCGAGATTTTATATATAATATTTAATCCAGGTACAAACAGACTCATGTTGCCTAACAACACATGGATCCAAGTTTTATCCGGCAAACTGAACTAGCCCGACAGTCTTTTACTAGCGAAATAAGTTAGCAGGTTGTCAGAAGATGCTTAGTAATTTAGCCGTTTGACCATAAAAAATACGTAGTAGTAGAAAACATCATCTTTCAAAACACTAACCCAAAACTCTCCCATTTAGCAAGTAAGAACGTTCTTAAAATAGATAAATTCATAACGATACACCCTTAGTTACATGACCAAAATTATAGGACTAGTAACAATACACCCAAAAGTTACTCATAGGCCAAAAGTTCCCGAAATAAGATTAAAAACATCTCGAAATTTCAAAACAGGAGTGCTACATTTTATTTCCTAAATAGTAAATACTAGCAAGAATAAAAATAATTACTGTCAAGATTAGAAAATACTGTTTGTTTAAAGTCTCATAGGCCAAAATGTGTCAATAATACGGAGTAACTCCTATTTATATAAGAACTTTGAAATTCACAAACATTTTTACTTCTAATTAGAACAATTTCTTAATTGCAAATCTCCGCAACATCATCCATCGATCTCAAAGAAGAATGTCATAATGTTAGTTTTTGTACTCCGTAGTTTTTAATAATAGTCTATTAAATACGAGTGTATATTAACTGTTAAACTCTCAAAATTAAACGTTTATAATGTGGAAGTCAAAGTGTTAGAAGAGCTGATGTTCTTTCCCTCAAGAAATAGCCAAACAATAACGTTAAAATACAGGATTATAAAAAGAATTAGTCAGTTTTAGAGTATAACATGGCAGAAAAACAGGAAAAAGGTGTTGCTTTCACACGGGCAAGTGAGTAGCTATTTTGGTATTTTCTTTCAAATCAAACGAATTGCATGGGCTCCCTATTTTCTGTGTGCTTATATGGAAAGGGAAAAAGTGGTAGTCTGACCCATGAATTGCATGTGCCCTACACCATTTACATACATACAAAAAAAAATTGATCTCTGTCTATTTGGAATGATCCGGGAGTTGGATATTAGGGTACCCCACACCACACCTTCAACACCACCCCCGGCCCCACTTTAGTTTCATGTGAAGTCACAGCAGTGGGCCCCCTCATACCCCCACTGGCCTCGTTCTTGCAAGTATGTTGACCGTTTTACCTTGGAACAATCTGTTGCTTACTCAGAATTAGAACTAATATTGAATTTTGCTCTGTATTTCATATCCAAACTCCAAAGCAAATTTGTTAAGATCAAGATTTCATCTTAATCTCATAGCAGAAATAACTCACATCTTAATATAACTCTTTAGTATTTCACAATCTTGGATGTAGGACTTCGATACTCTCTCCTCACGATCACACATTTTATCTGAATCGTGTCATCATTCATTTTTTTAGTTGTTCGTCATTGTCATTTTTTTTATATTATAGTCATTTTTTCATATGATCCATGATTATGAATCGATTTTGATTTGATATCATATTAAGACCTGATGATGCATCTTAAAAGATTAACCGGAAGGAGTAATTCTTATATTAAGAGAACAATGGTACTTGAATATATAAATGCATTATTTGCACTTTCATTAAAAGTGCAAATAAGCCCTTTTACAGGAGGCTTTGTCCGGCTGTCGCCATTTGGGACGGTTCCCGGCGGAAGATTTTGATGAAATTTTCTAAGCATCTTCTTCATTACGTCTAGTTTACCCATACCAAATTTCAGCTAAAAATTGAATCGAGAAGCAATCAAATGATTTTCTGAAATATAATGCGCTGCCTAATGAATTTTTGAAGATAACTGCGCAGTTAGGCAGCGCATTATATTTCAGAAAGTCATTTGATTGCTTCTCGATTCAATTTTTAGCTGAAATTTGGTATGCGTTAACTAGATTTAATGAAGAATATGCTCAAAAAATTTCATCAAAAAATTCAACCGGAAACCGTTCCAAATGATGACGTTCGAACAGAATCTCCTATAAAAGGGTTTATTTGCACTTTTTATTAAAGCTCGAGGGTTTATTTGATAGTTCTCCATTAATATATTTAACTATACAATTATTATACCAAAAAGATAATGAACAATACAAACACTATATGTCATTTTAAAGCGTGATAAGGGGTTTCCTATTTTTTTGTGTTTTTTATTTTTTTTTCCAGCAACATCATACTCCGCATAAAAAATGAAACTTGAATAAAATTAGAACAAATTAAATAAATCCATCGCTTCTATTTTAATTTTTTAGTGGTATAATATAAATTCGTAGTAATAATACAACAATATTGCTGGTATTATATCTTATCTAAGAGAGGTTCTTTAGTACAAAATCATCGAGTTAGGCTGTTTATATATGATATACGAAGTACCTAATTTAGGTAAACACATGACACATACTACGTACTTTTTTTTTTTGAAATAACAT